AAAATCCAGAAGCGACGATTGAAGAACGTCCCGCACCACCGCCAGTCCCTACTGAATGTAAGGCTCCTGGCTATGCTCTCTTGGAAAGTCTGTACTGATCCTCATTGTCAGCCCGACCTCTACCGCCACCACCGCCCGCTGCCCTTATGTCTCCCAGTGTCGGCTCAGAGTCGGATGACGAGTTATCCGAGTACCCCACCAACTCGGGTGAAACTCCCGGGGCAGAGACGTCTCCCACGACTCGTGCGCCGCCAGCTATTCCTGTGGCATCGCCGCTACTGCCAACCTCGCCTCGCTTCTCGAGTGAAAGTCGCAGGTCATACATGGGCGATGACCTGCCATTGGCTTCCCCTAGCTTGTCCCCAACACAGGGCAAACGAAATAGCCGGGCGCCGCCTCCCATCCCGGGTATCGCACCTCCCGCGCCGACGCAAACCCGGCCACCGCCACCACCGCCTCCTGCCGCTCTCAGCCGCGCCTCTACTGGTGATGAGCGAATTGCAATGCCCATGAGACCTGGACGTCTGGACAACGGTGAAGAAGGTGATGTGGCTGAATATGAAGGCGATTACGATACCGACATCGCATCTGCAGCACCTCACAGGGATGCACTGACGGGCCAAGGCAGGGAGCCAAGTTTCGATACCAACAACTCTGCTCTACGGTCTCCGACCACTGAACATCCGCCTTTGAGCCCACCGCCAGTGCCAGGTAATGGCCTTCCTAGAAGTCTGCCGCCCCCGATTCCTTCTTACCACGCCCCTCGAAGCTCTGTGGATAAGCCACGAGCCGGTCCGCCCCCGATCCCCACTCAACCGGCTCCTCGATCTCGGGCTTCGGTAGACGTACCACGCGGCGCTCCTCCGCCTCCCCCGCCTCCCCCGGTCAGACAGGCCAGCTTTGCACATGACGACGATTATGACCCGTATAACTATAACGCCGTCAAGACACCTCCTATCCTATCTCGAAGCTCGACGACGCACGAAGAAGAGCAGTACGCACCCTATTCGGCTTCACCTCCGCCGCCACCCGCCCCACCATCCTCTCATGAACGCCGGACGCCGGGAATTGTGCCCGCAGGTCCGAGAGCACCGCCGAGGAAGTCGTTGGATATGCTACGAGGCCCAATCGCAAAGCGGTCAATGGACAATACTGCACGGCACTCTGTCTCTATGGAAACCGGATTCATTGCTACGGAAATTGCCGAATCCGATCTCACCAGTCCCCTCTTCTGGTGGAAAGACCGACAAGGGCTTCCCGGGCTTTTCCAAGCACGGAAAGACATCTATACCGAAAGCACGTCGCACGAAGACGGGCACGAGCTGAAGACACGACAACTTACGGTACTCTTCCAGGATTACTCGCAGACTGTCATCACGGTCCGTTTCGATTCGAGAGATCCTTCGCAAGCTGAAATAAATCAACGGCAGGAGCCTCCACCCCGGTCTCTGCGACAAGACGAGCTAGAGGCCGCGTATGAGCGATTCGGCAGGGAGTTGGCTCGGTCAGCTGCGGCCAAGACGGGCTCGGTCGTCGGTGACGGCTCGCCACAAGCGCTGGTCAACGAACTGCTGCGGCCGTTCCCTGAGGCGCTCGCTCCGGTCGGCACGCGGGCATACGGCGCGTTGGTGTACTCCAACATGGCCAACGCGGCGACGCAGATCCACGACGAGATCAGGCCGGGCGACATCATATCGATTCGCAACGCGCGCTTCCAGGGAAAACACGGGGCGATGCACGCCAGATACACGATGGAGATCGGCAAGCCGGACCACGTGGCCATCGTGTCGGAGTGGGACGGCACGAAGAAGAAGGTGCGGGCGTGGGAACAGGGCCGGGAGAACAAGAAGGTGAAGCAGGAGAGCTTCAAGCTGGACGACCTCCGGAGCGGCGAGGTCAAGATCTGGCGGGTAATGCCCCGGACGTGGGTCGGACTGAGCGCGAGGCGTTAGGACCCTCGGTTCATGATGCCACTGTACTGCGACGGCAGCTTCGACACGGTGTGGCCGATCCTGCTGCGTGTCAGCGTGGATGGACTCGTCACGGCCGAGACGAGCTCTGGTCGGTTCAGGGCGAGTGATCGGAATAGCTTCGAATGAGAAAACAGAGATTCGTCTAGGAAGGGAGGGAGGGAGGGAGTGTAGTGTAGTTGTAGGACCTTGATATATAGGTTTAGTCTACAAATTGGCAACTAGCGGTTGTGAGTGTTTGTGTGTGATGGTTGATTGTCTTGTTGATGGACTGGCTTGACTATATTAGGTTTGCTTGACCTTGTAAGGGGATAGATCGAGAGGTGAGGGAGGGAGGTTCCTAGGGTGATTTCACAGCTTAACTTGGACCTCCTTTTCTTATCAAGAAATTTGGTGGCTTGCTTGGTGGCAAGTTTGTACTTTGAGATGTTGTAGGTTAGGTTAACCGAAGGGGTTGACTATGGAGTGGAAGTTGGAAGGCAGTAAGTGCGTGAGTAAGTTGAGTACACACTGCATTGGTGGATGTTTAGGCTGTCTGTCTGTGTGTGTGTTGTATGTGTGTGCGCTGTTCTAGCTTATTTTTCCTTTGCAGTATTGAAGTGAGTGCACTTGTACAGACATGATGACTAAATAGGCAGGTGATTATGTTCACTCTTCTAATCTAGGGGAAATTGGTCTCTCTACTTTCTGTCCCCCTTTTCTCTTTTTTTCTTTCTTTTTCTAAGGTCTTTTATCCCCTTCCCCTTTTCTCTTGGCAGAGGAAGGACACGTCTCTTTCTCATTCTGTGCTTTTATCTTTGCCTCTGTATTTGGAGTCGCCGAGCTGTATCTGGATCTAGTGCTCCAGGAATCCGGGCGTCGAAACTGAGGTGCAGGCTGAAGAAGGGTAGACTACAAACGTCTGCTTTCGTCTTCTCTGTCTCGTGGCGAAAAATGAGAGACGCCTCGTCCTTGTACCCCTCGCAGACCTCGTCGCGTCTGATGCAGTGCCGACAGGATGGGTGCCTACCGCCGCATCGCACTCGTCGCTCGCGGCATCGGCGACATCCACGGCTCATTCGTGACATGTTTTGCAGATTACGTTCGAGCTAGCCCCTCTCCCGAGTCCTCTTTGTCCCCGTTTCTCGAGGGGCTTGGTTTTTTTTTCTTAGGATTGATGACGATGGCTGGATTATACCGAACCACTTCTGCTTATTATCGCAAGACATCTTTGTGAACGGACAAGGGTTTAAAACCGGGAGAGACGCATACTGAAGTTTGACTGAAGTTGAGATTACTAAGAACCTAGCATTTGCTATCTGGAATATTTTATACGGAACGCTTGATAGTATCGCCACTCCGCAAAGAGGCCTAACCGAACCCGAATCCTATCAACTTCTTAGAAGCATGACGCTGTATATTATACAGAAGTATTAGTATTGAACAGGAATTCCCATAATGCCTTATTAGATATTTTGCTCATATTGGGGGAATGGGAGGAGCATATGTTAACCAAGAGCTCATATCTGATTCCCTATGTTCACGCCGAGGGACTTTGATAATGCCAGACTCCTTACAGTATGTACAACTGTTTTACATACAAGTGTCGTCTGCATTCGACTCAAGAGAGGTAGTTTCTCCAGATTCTGTGGCTCATTGCTGGAAAAGAGGAATCGAGCACTTGTCTGTCGTGGGTGCATCCGTCACGCCAAACAAATCAACTAACAACGACAGCTCCCCAGACCGTCCCAACCTTAACCTTCTGCCAGTAGTACCCCGTAAAAGGCAGAACAGCTGTCAAGAATGCGGAGAAGGGTGAAACCTTATAATTCCAACAAAAGCGTTTATAGAGGGAAAATGGTGATCGATCGACCGGGCCATGACGTCTCCTTATAATGGGGGTTTCGACAACCCTCTGGTCCGCGTGAACGAAACTAGCTCCGCATGGGGTTGAGTAGCAAACGATTCGTCACGTACTGACATCAAAGGTGAGGTCATTCGACTCGTCACTCGGGCACTTCATATGTGGAAGGGGAAAAGAGAATTATATAGAGTCCTCAGTCCGTAGTTGATCGAATTCACCTTCGAATCCCATACTCTTCTACATAACCTCATACCCAAAAGAACAGAACACCATCACATAAGAGCCATGTCCTCCCAACCGCACCCGTCCGGCCACGGCCTCGACGACGAGGCCATCCACGAGGCCCACGACATGATCCACCACGCCGAGCAGGAGGAGCACGAGCACGAGGCCGCCGCCAAGCGGGGTCTGTCCGACTCCGCCGCCGAGGCCGAGTACGACCTGATACACCACGCCGAGGAGGAGCTGGAGCAGAAGCAGCAGGTGTGTATTTCCAAATCTTTTTATTTAAAGCTCCTGAATTCCTTACATAGTATCCTGTACTGTTTTCAAACTAACTCGGATGTGTTCCAAAAAAAAAAAGCATCAGTCGAAAGGGAGAAACTTCATGAAGAATATGAAATAAAACATTCCAAAGGGTTATCTACAAGTAATGAAGGAAGACCCTCTCCAGCGGCTTCGTCCTCATGAGCAAATGTACGAGTACGAGTATGATATCGAAGGGAGGCTTTAACTACATCAATGTCATATAACCATTAAACCATATACACAGCATATGTAACTTCAACTTCTAGTCTGATCATCACGTACCTTTTTTCATGCCCCAATAAGACCTTGATATAACGCACGTCTCATATCCCATAACCAGTAACCTCGTCTAACAAGGAAAGTCCAGGGTATATGCTATACATTACCTATCTACTTACCCCCTACTTCCTTTGGTAGCTTAGATAATTCAAGGCAGATATGTACAGCAGTACAGTACACAGTGCACACCGACGTGAAGTTGGTAGGTAATAAGAAGGTCGTCCCCACTAAGTTTGTTAGCGCCGACACAACCCACGAAGCCCTCACTCCGCACAAATTGTTCGCATTGTATATAACCCAAAACACACGATACCCGCATCCAAGCAGCTCTCTCCTGCACGTTCACACTCGTTTCCTGCTGAACATATGAAAAACAACCTTCCCCGGTGGCGCAATTGGCTAGCGCGTCAGACTGTTAATCTGGAGGTTGAAAGTTCGAGCCTTTCCCGGGGAGCGTTTCATATTTTTTTCTTTCATTTTGTTGCTTTGGAGTGATAGTGTCGTGGCTGAGTTATTTCATTTTATATACTTGCCCCTTCCTATATACATATATCATCACATCATCATATCGTTCATATCCCTAGCTGGCCCCGAGTTTAATAGTATGTTATATCCCAGTGGTTGCCCTCGTCCTGTACATGCCGGATAGTCAGCACACCTCACAATTTCAACACATGGAAGATACCAGAGGATGGGGGGAATGTATGACTTACGCAGTAGATATTGCCCGAGGCGGCCTTCCACTGCGGGTATCCGTCGCCGCGGTCGGCGATGCGCGCGAAGTGGCCGGTGATGTACGAGTTGAGGGCCGAGTTCTTGGCCACGTCGACCTTGTACCCGTTGGCGTGGCTGTAGGTTCCGCTCGCGTGGCCCGTCTCGGTGCCGCCGGTGATGGTGACGGTGCAGGCGCACGAGGCCTTGAGCGTCACCACGCCGCTGACGGTGCCCGAGTAGATGCCGTCGAACGAGGTGCACGACTTGTTGGTCTTGTCCGAGCACCCGCCGCTCGACGTCCAGCCCACGCCGCCGGCCCGCAGCTGCGACTCCGCCTGGGCCTGGGTGAGGCGTGTGCCGGACCGCTCGCCGAGTATGGGGCCGGCCTGCGCCACCGCGAAGACGGTCGCCAGGGATGTGAAGATGGTGGTGAACTTCATGGTGGCTGTGGTGATAGGAGGGCCCCGGCTTTGATTGTCGTCCTTGTTGTTTTCCTTCTAAGGGGTGAGATCTACACAAACTCTTCTTCTTCGACCGCGGGGCGAGAAGACGTTTATATACTTGAAGACCGCCATGTCTCCAAATGCGAAACACAGAGTCCACAACTGCAGAGGCGGAATGCGATGATCAGCCAGTCCCCTGAAACCAAGAGCAGTAGCTAGAGAAACGGGCGATTCCGTGTGTGTCGGCTGCTCGCTGCTCACCATCGGCCAGCGAGAAAGCTTGGAACTACGACTCTAGGGCGTGCTCGCGATGCTCAAACTGGCAGGCAGATAACGATTGCTCGCGATAATCTTGCAACGGCACAATAGTAACGGTTGCAACAATGCACCCTCTCCTTGGGTCCTACCTTTTACGGCCACGAGATTGACGCCTCAGCCTTCAGGGCACCCCTGCCAAGCCGCTATGCAGATTAAACTTTACGGGGCTCTCACCATGTGCCTTTCCCAGTGCTTGGCCGGATGACATGTAAATGCCGTAGAGCAGTAACTAGTCTAGATATATGTTTCGGCAGTAGAATTCCAAGTAGGTTAAAGGGTGGCTTTCCTGAGTTACGAGCATGATTCGACGAGGACAAAAGAGCGGTAAGAGTGAGACACTCAGCTATTGAGTGACCTGGACTTCTCCGGAAGTTACGAGGCGACATCATATTTTATTGTAACTGCCACCGTCACTTCTCTGGGCTGTAACTTCCATCTTGATTTCCCATCTCCAAAGCTGGACCCGACTTTTCGGCATGCAACATCTTCAGCTGACCAGAGAAGACGAACAAGTGGACATTTTATTGTTGCCGATTGTCGTTTAGATATACCAACTACCTATTTAGGTAGTAGATCTGGACTATCTAGGATACCGGCACTGACGAGTGGGCACAGCTTTCTCCGACGCCTATGAGGCAGATTAGGATGCAGAATTTGGTATGCAACTCTGAGGGAATTATATCTCATGTCACACAATGCACAACCTCAGCTTGAAAATGGTTGGCGTACGACATATATAAAAGGATTTCATGTCTCACTCTACTTGTCACATATAACCATATCATTAACAACCATGAGCCTCCTTCATACCTAATGAAGCCAAACTCAATTAGCATCCGACGCGCCTCGGGTAGGCGCCGGCGTCGGGTAGGAAGGAGCAAACGAATTAGACTAAATGTGTGATAGCGCCCTCAACAAATCGATGACGATGAATTGATTGCCTATGCTGTCCATACCCCATATTTTCTCATTTCCCAGTGTAGCTTTCCTATCTCCGCATTATATTGTCTATTGAGGAATCAGGTAGCCTACCTGGGCATCTGCTGCCGCTTTTCGTACGTTAGGGCATTGTTGACACTGGCACGGATGATTGAAGCAAATTCTGTAACTTCGAACAACGACAGTTTCTTTGACCGATTGATCAAGTTGAGAGTAAAATCTTGAATTGAAAGTTATCAACCCCAGATTTGAAGACGGAGAGGAAATCAGACAGTACAGGAATTACGTCACAGGGCCAATCAACAACCTCCAGGCACCTTGGCATACCCGGGCCAAATCTGACACATACAGAAATGCCTTTGACAACAACTTTTACTTTCTCGCAAGCCTCTCTGACAGCCGCGATAGGGCTCTCGGCCGCCGGTATCTGGGCGGGGACCCAGCCGCCGAACCCGTCACCCGAGAAGGCGCCGGCAACGGGCGACGCCATCCGGCACCTGATCCTCCTGGGAGGCAAGCTCGGGCAGTTCATCTACCTACCCTTCGGCATCGTAGCGGCCCAGCATGCCGTCATGGCCCTCACGTACCCCAACTTCCCCTCCTGGATAGCGCGCCGCGTCGTCCGGACCTCGCTCGACCCGCGCTTCTTCACCTGGTCGCGGGAGACGGCGATACCGATCGCCCTGATTGTCGCCGTCGGCACCCCGCTGCGGCTGCTCTCGTACGGCGCCCTGGGCAAGAACTTCACCTTCACGCTCGCCGAGCCCGACCGCCTGAACACGAGCGGCCTGTACCGGTACATCCAGCACCCGAGCTACACGGGCGTGCTCGCCCTCGTCTTCGGCGCCTCGGCACTCTGGGGCCGCCTCGGCAGCGCCCCGGCCTGCTTCTTCCCCTCCTGGCTGGTCTCGTGGATGCGGCCGTACGAGAAGGGCGTCATTGCCGTCTCCCTGGCCCTCGTCGTGTCCGTCGTCTGGAAGCGGGTTATGGACGAGGAGGCCATGCTGGGGAATAAGTTTGGCGCCGAGTGGGAGAGCTGGCATGCTAAGACGGCTAGGTTTATACCCTTTCTTATCTGATTCCTTTGCAAATCTGGGCGATTACCCGATCGTATATGCCTACCCAGTTTGCTCGACAAGTGGTATGATCTTATCGGTAGAGGAGAGGGACCAGGCGAGGACATATACCGCGCATCACAACTAAGCCTTACAAGCCTTTGGAATCTTGTGACGGGATTGGCGCGAGATGCATAGATGCTCATTTCTGCACACATGTCCAACTGAGATATCGAGGTCCCTCCCGAGGAAACGAGCACCGGCCGCTGCCTAACAGACGTATAATTGGCTGGCTACCCCCATCAACTCATCCACACTTGCATCTACCTACATACATCACACATCAATACCTAATGCCTAGTTATCCATGCATACATCATATAGTAATGAAAAGCAATCAAACCTCCACTTTGTGCCAAGTTCTCTCTCTTCTCGCCCGGGCCATGGTGGGAGGAGCAGACCAAGTTGTGCTCACACAATAGCTTGATACATAAACAACCCCAGATAACCAATAATAAGCCCGAGCGTGATCAGCTACGCCAATGGCTTTTGGTAGATTTCTTGACGGGCTTGTAAACGTGAACGAGATCATGGTGGGAGAGAAGATGACAGCGTGTACAACTGTACCCAAGTGTATCATCGAGCCAACGCCCTCGCAGCCAGTGTTTCATCCCACAACAAGACTCTTTCAACTTCAATGGTCGACACAGAATATGCCATCAACTCAGGAGTGGTCCGGGTATTTCCCTACGTCTTACAAAACAAGTTATAGATATATATATATGTATATATATGTGCTTAGCAGGCACACTAATTTCACATTCTCTCTATTTATAAAATTTCTACTAGGCAAACCAACAAGATATATAACGTTCTTCCCAAGTCTACTTTAGAAAAGGCTAAATCTCCTTTTCCTTTTGTAAGTTGTAGATAGACTGCAAGGACAAACGTGCAAGACGCCTATTAATACAAACCATTGCTGTCTATACCCAATACTAGAAAGAAAGATGTTGCTTTACAGCGTTTTAACTGTATACCTACTTACCAGCCTGTCTTTTAAATGTATGTCTCGATCCGATCAAATCTAAGCTTCATTAAAGAAACCAAGTCAGTTAATTATTTCACCAACCTCGGTCCTAAAAGCTATATTGAGACAGCAGCAGTACAAGGCAAAGACAAACCCGTCTTGTTTATTGCTGTGGAAACAACTTATTGATACAAACAACAAATCACCTGCAGCAAGCGGTACTGGAATGCCGGAGAAAGGAAAAACAACGCTTGCTCAATAGCTCGTTCAACTAAGGTTAGTATAAAACAAGGTGGAACTGCCAATGTGATCAGGTTGTTGACTACTGCTTGTAGCGGCCTAGGCTAAGTGAGTGGATTATCTCGATGCCGAACAAAGTCCGCTGATGAGATGGAGACAAAGACATGGAGATACGGAGATGGAAGTGGAGGTGGAGATGGAGAGGAACATGAAAAGATGGTAATAAAAGCATATGGAAACTCAATGAGTGACCCGGACGTGGGAAAGGAAGGAACTGGATACATAATAGGACATCTAGTGATAATAATAAGAAACAAGGGGCCAGATAATGTTGAAGATTAAACCTAGGTTAGTCGACTTTAACTAACCTAACAGAATTGGACGGAAGAATCTCCAACACTTTACCTCGGGGTATGTATGTCTGTGCGAGCAGTAGACTACATGATACTATACAGAATACAAACAAGCAACTTAAAAGTCTTACCCAGTCACCAATGTCTTGTCTAAAAACTGACATCTTCTTACTATTACTGGCTGTTATACTTAATCGGCAAGTACATATGTATAGACGGAAATACCATACAGCAGTATAGGTCTAGTAGGTACTCGATCCCGCCGAACAGCATAGGTAAAGCAGCCTCGGCAAGGCGCAACGCAACATCGTTAATTTGCCGACGAGTCTTGACTTGAGTACCGCGGAAGTCTACTGGTCTTTAGC